TGCTAAAAACTATTATCAAGATTAAAATATATAACATTATTGCCTGTTTAACTAAAATTAACTATAGAAATAATTTAACAGTAAAAAATTTTAAATCAATAACTAAAAACTTAAAATAATTTTTTTTTTTCACATATAACTTAAATAAATTCACATATAAACTTAAATAATTTTAAAACAATAACGATAAATGTAGATAACTGTTCATTTTAATTAAATTTTACCCAAGAAAATTCAAATAATTCAACCAAATTTGCTTACTTAATGTATATTGACTCATACAGAAACATTATTTAGCACTAAATATACATTCATATTTATAGAACAACATTATGCAATATTCTATACAAATTATGCTATAAAATAATTAGAAATAATCAACAAAAGCATTTAAAGTACATTTATGAATAACAACATAGTAGATACAATCAGTGGATGAAAAATAATTGTAATAAAACAGCATGGTAGAAGACTTATTATTTGTACAGAACACATAAACTATTTTGATGTAAGTAATTCTGGGTGATTGCTACAACACTGAAGTGTACTAGTATATATTGTTTGTAGATTGATGTATTGAAAAAGTACTACAAAAGATCACAATATCATGCTTATAGCAATGCAAAGTATTGATAAGTGATAAAAATTTAATCTTTTAAATAGTTATGCTAAACATTTCCTGGGTTCAAAAACAATATCTTTAAAAAACTTTTCTTAATTTCTGAAAATTTATATTATTATTAATTTTATAAATATTTTATNGTAGCGTTTATTTGGCAATTTAAAATTTTCCACACGCCAGAATGATTTTATTCCTAAATTACTTGTAATTACAATTTTTCTATGTATAAAAATTTCAACGTATTGTTTGAATTTCGTATATTTCATATCGACTGGTTTGTTTGTATACGGCAACGCGACACATGGGCGATCTGCCGAGAGGATGACTTTCGGGAGAATTTTCTATGGGAGACTGCCCATAAGTGTTACAAACGGGAAATTCCACATGGGCTGGCCACGTGGAGATTTCCTAATTTTGGCGTGTCGTGAACACCTGACCAACGCATTTGGAAAAGCAATTTCGTATTATGTAACTAATTTTCGACTATAACGGACATCTCGTCCGAATGTCCTCTAAACCAAGGTTTTACTATAGTATGATTATGAAAATAAAAAGTTGCTTTCAGTGGCGTAGCGTAGTGGGGGCGGCAAAATTTCACAATAAATAATAATAATACCTTATAAAAATTTGAACTATTCTAATCTATATTTGTGTCGCGCTTACGATAGTGCTATTGTCCGGACAGTCCGGGAATCGGCTCACCGTCCGGGTGAACTAGTAATTTCATCGTAGGATATCCTGCGCAACCTGTTGATTTTTTTTTGCTTGTACGATTCATTCGTATTCATATACACCACCACTATCCAATAGAGCTATTGTAAACAGGTTGCTGCACTAGCACAGAGTTTTTTTATTGCTTCTGTGACAAAACTAAATTTTAGTCTTTTAAATTAATACCTAAATAAGGGGGGGCGAAATTTTCCTCCGCCTCGGGCGGCTGACACCCACGCTACGCCACTGACACAGAATGCTGTAGAACATTCTCGTCTTTTTCTGCTTCTTTCAAAACGGCAACTAAAGATGTTGTACCCATAAGAGTATGGAATTTTATACATTAAATAAATAAAGCATTAGAAGTATATAGCTTATTGTAATCTGCAACGTTTCGTGGATGAATTACCACAGAAAAGAAAGAAGTCTGGTATAAAAGCGAAAATTCTAATGAAAATTGATAGGACTGAAGAGCATCTTTGAAAAGTGACAAGATTTCATATCGATCTATAGCCTCGAAATTGAAAATTTTACTTGCTTGGCTCTATGAGGCTTTGAAAACAAAAACACAAATATCTAAACCAGCAGGTAATTCCGAATAGAACTGACACTCAAATATCACTGGCAAAGGCAAAGTGTGAGAGATTATTGCGAAAGTTCCGTGAAAAGTTATTCAGTTTGGACGGCGAATCAAAGAAATTTGAGAGCGAAGTTTAGCTTTGAATTGCAAATGAACCGTCAAATCTTAATCATAAAATCAAGTTTTGATATCAATTTCCAACGATATTTAAATGAATGTGTAATACGTCGCACGATTCCTTACGTCCGACAGAACTTTCTCAAACAGAATACCTTGTATATCTTCTGGCCAGATCGAGAAAGTTTCCACTACGCCAAAACTGCACTGCATTACCTGTAACAACCTTGCAAACATGCCGGAAATTAAGCCAATGGAGGATATTTTTGGCAATTCTCAAAGCAGCCGTTTACGAAAGGGAGTGGAAAGCGAAAAACACGAATTATCTGATCGAGCCCGTAAAATACTGTATGAAAAATGTAAACTAGTCTTGTACAGAAACTTGCACTGAACACCAGAAATCGAACAGGACCTGTAGAATTACAAAAATAAAAGACAATGTTTCATCACCTTTCAAATGACTCACTATGTGACTGGAATCTACACTACAAAATTTCATACTTTTTAACAGTAAATTATTAGCGATAAACTAAAAAGTTTAATCAAATTAGAACATTTTATTATTATAAAACTTCACATGTGGTATGAATAATACTTTGTGCTTTTCTTATGATGTCTAAAATGGGGATACTTTTCGTTATTGGAAGTAGAATTTTGCTTTTCTTAGAACCATATCAAAGGAAAACTAAATGCTTAAAGCTAAATTACCTAAAATTTCTACGTGAATGAATAAGGGATGCATTATTGAAGACATCTGAAAGTACTAGGATGGAATAAAGTAAATTAAGCTGCAGAATTTGCATACGCAGCCCAAAGAAAAAAGTGTGATGCAAAGATTGTCTAGTAAATGAAATTTTGATTTGTAATACCATGAATTACTCTTTTCAGTTGTAACAATAATAATAAAAACGTGTTACTGAAAAGTTAAATTTTTGTGTATATTTATGCAACTTTAATAAAATTATTTTAATAAATAAATAAATTTTAAAGCAGAATATAGTTAATTTTCATTCTGTTGAACAGAATTTTATTTAAACAAACATGCAGTAAATATTTCAGTTATAAGTATTTCCTATTCATCTGTTTTTATAATTTTTTCTTTTTCTGTCAAAAAATAAAATTAAATTCATAAAACTTGTAGAAATACAATAAACAAATAAATATATATATATAAATATATCTATATATACTTTATATTTCATTAGAAGAAATCTAATTTCTTAAATCATGCATCATTCTTTACTTTAACATTTCTTTTATTAGATAAAAGTATAATACAGTAAACAATTTGTTCAAAGAAAAAGTTATAAAAAAAACATTTTGTAGGAAATTCTAATAATAAATTAAAATAAAAATTCTTATGATAAATTATCTAATATTAAAATTAAATGTAAACACTAATTACAGTAAATAGTTTTTTCTTCTTCTTTTTTTTGAAACAATCATATTCAAATAATGCATGATAAACATTTGTTTCTTTCATATAATATATATATATTATATATATATATGATATATAGATAAATGAATTATCTGATTTGTTTCTTTCTTTTTCTATGGAAATATCAAATGCATAAATTAAACTGTAACTAAATATTCTGTTTGATTTCGTGATACTACATTTATTGCACATGGAACTTTTCAAATAAAAACAAAATTTCTAATTTATTATTAATGAAAATTTATATTTTAGTATCAGATAATGTATACTAATTAAAATAATTTTTAAATACAATAACAAAAACATCGATTAACAAAAACCATGTAAAAAAATTTTGCATCACCATCAAATACTGGATATGAAATTACACGAAATATATCATGTAAATTGTTTATTAAATTTTTATCTGATTACAAGCCACAAAATTAACTTTTATTTTAACATTGTACAATATGTATGTAATTTTTCGGCTCTAGTTTTACAATAATTCTTTGTAAAGAAAGTCACAGATATCATCAAACATTACTTAAATATAAAATGTTAAAAACAGACATACTAATTTTAGGTGAAAATAATTTCTACTAGTTTGAATTATAGCAGAAATTATATTCACCTATTTCTATGACAAACAAACTTCAAGAATGCTTGAAGTTATAATCATTTTGTATTGTGTTTATCTGTTATTATTATTATTTATTATTATTTGATCTTTTACCTTTACAATCACAATGCCATAATCTCCATGTAAGATGATCATCTGGTTTTCATTCTTTTAATTTTTTTTTCCTACTTACAGATTTCACATGGACTGGGCATTATTTAACTGGCGAGTGGAAGGCACTGGGTGAATATATTTTTGTTTTTACAATGCCTGACATGTACACTTCATTTAAATAATACAAATTTACTATTATTTTCATTTTTTAGGATCATTATTATACATGTTATTACATTAGAAATTTAAAGATGATTTGCTTTATTTTTAAAACTTTTCTATTAGAAATAATCCATCTCAGAGACGACTACATATATGCACTTATTGAAAATAAAACTTTTTAGAAGGGTCAATTAATTTTAATAGTATAAAAATAAAATTACAAATTAATAAGATTTTTAAAAAATGATATAAAAGATTAATAAACTTAATTTTTCTATATGAAATATTGAAAATAATAATATTTATATACTGTATGTATATATTTATATATATATATTTATTTATTTATATTTACAAAATCTATATAAATTATAAATATTTTAAAGAAATAAACATTTTGAATATACATTTTGAGAGCAAGACATTCACTAATTGGGTGATGCAATACTTTTTCACACAGTTAAATTAATATTCAGAGTTTTTGAATATTGAATGCTACCAATATGAGAAAAATGTATTAACCGTTTAAATTAAAACAATAAAAACAAATTGGGGAAAAAATTAGTAAAAATGAAATAAACAAGAAAATTTTATATTAAGATAATAAAAACAAATAATGAATTTTATATTCTACAAATTTTTATGAATCTCAAATTATATAATTTAAAAAACAGATAACTTTCATGCTGTGAATTATTAAATAATGAAAATAAATTCAAATCTCAAAATATCTACTCTAACTGGGTTATACAATTTTTTAACATTAAAATAATCAAAATTTGTACATCCCATTGTGAAATAAATTATGGACAGAAATTTTAAATGAAAATAGGGAAAATAAAAGTACAGACCATCAGGTAAACAGATTACAATGTTAACCTTTATTCTTGAAAGCCAAGTAGTTTTACATGGCCAAATTCTGGGACTGTATATGGAAAATCCATATACCAAATCTGTAGAGTACAAAACAAGGGTGAATTATGATTGACTGGCATACAGCAGACACTGAGATGGATTTTTATGATGCATGTAAAGAATATTTTTCTGGGCTGGAGGTTTCTCCTGTTATTGGGCAGAGAAGATTTGTACAATGCAAACAACAGTATATCAGGAGGGCTTCTTTTACATACAAAAGGGATTAAATGAGAATGTTGCATGACAGGCTATGTATATATTCTGCTGAAAACAAATGCTGCCCTACTATTCAATGGACTATACATACAATCATCACACCACTCTTAAAGACCCTGGAGAACACTTTTCTTATATGTTGTATTATCATAAATGAGGCATCAATAAATAAATTACATCAACATTTTTTTCATACCCACACCTTCTACTTGATGGTTATTCAAAATGTAGGCTTTAAAATTCAAGTGACATAAAAGTCTCAGAAATAAAAGCTTACATAAGTCATTACATTTTATGACAGTACTTGTCTTGGCTTCAAGGCTGATACAGTCCATAAGTTACGTGCCAGGAATCGGCATGCGTGTTGGAACCTGGCATCAACACTCAGTTTGATGCCATCCTTGTCCATGGAGGGAAGAGTTGGTCACTCACTATTCAAGCACCACAGATGCATTTTCACGTAACTTCCATGTAATCAGGATCACTATCTGTGTCATCACCAGAGTTATCAGAGTCAATAATTCTCTTTCGTTTCTTCCGAAATTTTTCTTTCTTCTTCTTTTCTTTTGTGACACTACTCCGACTTATTTTGGACCTCGAATGGCGACTACTGCCAGGTGATCGATTTCTTGATGATCCTTTATCAGGAGTTCGAAAAGAAACTGTATTAACAACTGAGTTATCTTCCTCATCGTCTGCATGTAAAACTGACACTAATAACTTTGATGCATTAGCAGATGATCTGCGATTAGTTTGTTCATCGTCATCATCATCTGCTGGATCAATTGTTAACATCAATTGTTTGAAATTTAGATACTGTTGTATTAGTTTCCTTTTACCTGCTTCATCCAACATACCTGTATGATCTTCACCTTTCACAAAATTAATCACAGATATGGGTTTAAATTTCACTCCTACTTTACGATTCATAGCTTTTTCATATACTTTAACAGATTCATTTGGTGAATACTGTTGTATTTTATTGTCAGTAAATCCATACATTTCTTTTAAAGTTTGTTTTATAAATAACAATAAAAGACAAGCTTGTGAAGCACTCATGCATTCTTGTAAAACAGATGTATTTCCTGGAAGACGTTGATACAAAGAATCAAAATCATCGTCATCATCATCTTCCTCTGCAGGATTATTTCCAGAATTTATATTTACAGGAATTAAAGCTTCTCTGAAAGATTGAAGGAGATTTGAACCCGATACCGATAACATAACATCGATCTGATGTATGATAAATAGAGGTTCATCCTGTACTTGGAAAGGAAAATAAACAATATTATCTCCAATGTACAATAATTCTGATAATGGAGTCCTTGCTTGTTCATCAAATAATTTTAAAAGTGAAAGCACAAAAGCTCTTCGATTTTGTCGAGTTCCTCTTATAACGGAATATAAAAATCCATTTCTGCTTACAGTATTGTCGACACTACGAAAGCCTCGAATAAGCTCAACACTATCACTATGAATTAGTTGTTGCATTTTGTATGACATTCGAACACCTGATAGAGCCTTCATTTGAACAAATCCTGGATATTTCTTTTCAATTTCTTGCAAAAGCTGATCTGCCTTTGTTCTCAAAATTTGATCATCATCAGATCCCATGCAGATCAGATAGGGAACTATTTGCACTGGATGGACCAATCCTTGGCCTAAAATAAGATGTATAACTTGTAATGCAATTCTTCTTACATTCACTGATGTATGCAACACTGATTCTAATATCTGTTTTAAGTAGACTTGAATAACAGTGCTAGCCATTCCAGATGAAACATCCCCCATTTCTTTTAAATCTTCAGATTTTGAAACTTTACTCCATTCAGCATCTTTCTGTATCATTCTAGCTTCTTCTTCTAATAAATAAACTGAAAGATTCTTTAAAACTTGACATTTTAGTCCAGCTGATACTTCTGAATCACACAACAGATAGTAATAAAGTTCTTTTACTTCTTTTCCGAGCATAAATTCATAGTGCCTTATCATCATGAATCCAAGTCCTGTAAGAGCTTTATGACGTATGTCTTCACATTCATGTTTAGTAAAGTATAAAATTACTTCAAATACTCTATTTTTTAATGGTTCTTGTCCACTAATTTCACTGACTGGTTCAACAGATGTGAAATCAAAATGTCTGCAGAAAAGACCCACAGTAAATAATGATCTTAATAATTTAGGTCGTTGTTCAATCAACAATGGATTATTAGGATTATTCTCATGCTCCTTTTTAAAACCAAGTAAAACAACAAAGAATTTTTGAAAACAATCACAAACAAGTTGATAATTATGGGTTACTCTATTTACTACCGCTCCTAAACAACTAACGCAACTAGGTAGTATAAACATTCCATGTCTAAGAATAAGTTTTACCATATCTTCTTCAATTTGTGCCAAAAATGATTCACTGGGATGTTCAATCAATGGCACAATAAGTTCTAATGTTTTGGCAACATTTAACAAGACATGATAATCTGCTTGTTTATTACATGTCATACTTAGATATGGTTGGATGGTATTAACATGGGGAACAACTAAATATGGGTGGATTTTGCAAAATAGATACAATGTTGTTAAACAAGCAACTAAATTTTGGCTGGCTCCAGAACCTTCTATTTCTTGTGTAGATTCTTCTAATTGAAGAACATTTTCAACTAAGCAATCGACAATTTGTGTGCAAGACTTTATTACTCCTTTGTAACTACTGTCATCTTTATTTTTTAATAAATTTGTAAGCAACTGTTCGAACCATTCTAATCCAGTATCTTTACAAGCAGCTACTACATGTGTAATATTTTTTACTTTTTGAAGAATCCTTTTAGGTTCTCTGTCAGAAGCAGGAGTGAACCACATACTTTGAAAGACTTCTCCTACTAACTTTTTAATTCCATCTTCATCATTCACTCTCCGTATTATTTTTACACAAATTTCTGGAATTTTTGGAAAATCTGGTTGTTCTAAACATACATCTTTGAGTATCTTGATCACCCGTTTTCTAACACTTACACCTGTATCTAAAATTCTATCAGTTAGCATTTCATAATACTGACTGGTAAGCTCTGGACGGATCAGAATGAATTTGCCTACCAAATCTACAGCTGCTTCTCGAACACTTGTTGACTGATCTAACAATCTACCATGAACACCTCTTTGCATATCAGGTCTTGCCAAAATACTAGGATCAGCCTCTACAACCAAAGTTAAACATTTCATTGCTTTAGTACGTACAGCAACAGCTGTTTCATTAAGGACTCTTAAAATTTGAGATAAATAAATATCAAAACTTTGTGAAAATGGCCTCTTTGATGCAAGAAAGCTTGAAATTAATTCTGCTGTATTATAATCAATATGTTTAATTTGGTTTATATATGATTGTTTTAAATGTTCAAGTTTAATCACAGAAAGAAGAAATCTCTTCCTCTCTTCAGCTAAGGCAAGCAATTTAATATTACTTTCTTCACCTTCAATTTCAAGTTTTGCATCATCTTTCTCTGTTTCATTTTCTTCTTCATCAACATCAACTTCACAATTGACCTGAGAAGATCTTCGTTTATGCCGAGACAATTTGACCCCTTTGATTGGCTTAGAATTATTAGGTTGCACTTGTTGCTCGTTTTCATCAGTTTTTTCTTTATTCATCTTATCTGATCTAATTTCTGCTGCAGCATCACGATACCATTGTGCTATATAAAATTTTCTAGCAAACTGTAATGCGGGATCACTGTGAACGTTTGCATCAAGATATCGAAGCAAAACTTTTTGAAGTATTTGAGTATCATCTTTTTTGAGTGATTTTTGCTTATGTTTAGACTTTTTACTTTTGCACTGTAAAATGTCACTATCTGCAGTTTCACCTAAAATCTGTTTAATGACTTCATTAATAGTTTCTTTTCTCAGTTGACTCGAAACAGCATCTTTTCTTAATCGAGCAGCAACAACACCAAGATAATCAAGAGATGCAACTCTAAGAGTCATATCAAGAGATTTGTTGCTAAAGTTCTGAACCAATAATCTGCCTAAAAGACTTAAAAGTAATTCAGAAGCTGGCCACTCTGGTTTATTGACTGTGCTCAAAAGATCTTGAACAAAGTTCTCAAATAATGGGCGATAATCCATTTCTTCATTTTTTGTTCCACACTTCTTCAAAAAGACCGAAAGAAAATTGATTGCTGTTCTAACTGCTGCTTCATAAGAAGTAATTATCATTACATCTTTATCCATAGTTGGCATATCTTTTACATCCATACCTCTGTCATCATCATCATTAATTAAATAAGGATTTTGTTTCATATTATTTTCTGGTTCAGGTAATCTAACCACACTATGAATCAGTTGAAGAACAAGGGCTGTAAGCATTTGTATATGTTCTTCAGAATTTAATCTGTAATTTCTTAAACTCCGTTTACTTGTAGGAAGTCTAGCAATTGAAGCTAAAATATCTTCAAGTATAAGTTGTCTATGTTTGTCATATTTTGCAAATACAGTTGTTACCAATCTCAAAACATTTAATTGTAATTCATTTACACCTTCAACAAAAAATGGGCCAACACCAAGAGTTGATACTTGTAGAATTATGGTATCTGTTAGTGTTTGAACTTCAAGAAGTTCAGCAAGTAAACCAACCGCTTCATGCAGTTTGTTATATAACTGAATTATTGATTTTTCTTTAACCTTATGTGCATGTGCTCGCTTTTGTTTAATATTTCCAACATAACCATCTTTTGATTTAGGATCAATTCGGTATGCTGGATCAAATACAGGATATACAGTATTTTGAAGCTGAAATTTAAGAAACAAAACAATTCTTTCTATAACATCTTCTAAAAACACTTTTTCTGGCATATTGGGTGAAGTCATAATATAGAGAGCAGTTAGTGAAGAATCTGCACTCCTCATCACTCTCTCCATAGTAAGTTCTAACCAAAGTTTTGCTTCTTCTTCATCTCGTTCATCTGTACTTTGTATAGGAAGAATTTTAGCTCCATCTAAAACATTTCTTTCCAATATACTTAAAAGTCTAACTAATCGTTCTGGAGGAAATTGGTTCATAGCTTGTAACATTTTTAATTTTGCAGCTTCATTACACAGTTCTTGTAGTTGAAATAAGGGAATTAATGCTTCAGCTGGACATTCAGAATCTTCATCAATATCTGCAGAAAAATCTAATTCTTCCATTGAATCAAAAATTGCTTCAACAGTCCTAGAAAAATGCTGATAAGTATTTGTATCCATTAAATCTTCTGTTGATAGTTGTTCAATTTTCTCTTTTTTGATCTTTTTAATCTTTGTTTTCTTCATTTTAATGTTTGATATAGGTGTTTCATCTGAAGATGGATCACTAGCAACCTCTGCAACAGGAGATTCAGCATAATTTGCAAGTTGGCTTGATCGTCTTCTTTTCTTCACTCTCTCACCCAAGGAGGTTGAAGTACTTTCTGATGGTTTTTGTTTGTAATCAACATCAAAACTAGTAGTATCACATTGTTTTTTAACAGTTTTATCTTTATGCTGAACAAAATCTTTTGAGGAACTAAGATTTTCTTTACTCTTTTTCTTGGGTGACAGAAAACCTTTTTCTAATTTTTCAGATTCCACATCTTCAGAGGATGATTTCCGCCTTGAACATTCCTTGGCCGAAGATTCACAATTCTTTGATTTTGGAGATTTTCGAGTTTCTTCTACACCAACTACTTTCTTTGTGAATTCCTTTACACTTTTTTGTGCTAGAACTTGATCTTCAATGCTTAACTTATCAAGAATAACAACTGGTTCAGAAGATTTTCTTCTTCCTGTAGTTGCACTTTTCCTCAGTTCTTCTTGATTTAATTGATTCTCATCATTTACAAGCATGTTATCCTTACTTCTATTATCACATAATAAATCAGAAATATTACAAGTAGAATCATTAGAATCTCTTTCTTTATTATTTATCAGAGATTTTTGTGAAGGAGATTGTAATGATGAATTACTACTAGTTTCAAATGTAACTGATGATGTGCTAGGCAAGTGCTGCTCAAAACTTTTATTATTTGCTTGATGTGTAGGTGAAATAACACCTTGGGATGTATGTATTTGTTGCGTTGTAGCTGTGGATGAACAAGTCAATTTAGATGTTGATCGTGTTCCTACAAAACTAGAGTACACAAGATCAGTATTTGTAATAGTCTGTTGATTTTCAGGCAAATGATTTTCTGTCCTATCAGTTAGTTTTGCAGGAGACAATATGGCTGTATTTTCTCCACAGTTACCATTACTGAAAGTGTGAGATGCAGATGCAGGTGATGTATTGTATTTATTCACTATTGTTGATTCATAAAATTGTTGATTTTCTTGTAAACTCGTAGGTGTATGAGGAGATGGCGTTGGACCTTGAGAAACAGCATTGTGAACTATTGATGCATGCTGCTGTCCCAAGTATTTATCATTTGATGCCACAGTGGGAACATATTGAGGATAATTACCAAGAGGTGTTTTGGGTTGTTGTGATACTGAGATTTGTTTATTATGAATATGTCGATTGCCTTGTGATTGGTCCATCTGGTATCCTTGAGTTGCAAACTGTGGAGAATTTGGATGAGGAGGACAAGAAGGAATTGTAACAGAAGCAAATGGTTGTTGTTGGGGATGGAGTGAACTTGCTGTACACTGTCTCTGTATCCATTGCGATGTACTAGGATGATGCTCGGCAGTGATATTAGGCGCTGTTGAAATAACTCCTTTAAAAATATTTGGACTTCTACTGAGCAAAAACTGAAGCAATTGAGATGTCTGACCACCATGGGAAGCACCACCATAATATCCATCTTTAACTTCTACATTATCTGTAGTTGTTCTGCTTAGAGCTTCTATCAAAGGTGGGACAAGGAATGATTCATGAGCACTGTTTAGCAGTTGTCTTGCTTCATCTGAATCTCTTAAGTGACTCAAAAGACTCCGACTTCCAGTTGATCCTGGTAATGGAGTAGGCAAAGGTAATTCTAACAATAAATCTGTCAAACTCTGAATTCCAGCAAGGGTTGTGATAGGCACACTTGGTCCTTCTCCATTCATCATGGTTCAAGTGTGTAAAGCTTTGATTCACAACCTTTGAAACATATTGGATAAATACATTTCTTCTATAAATTATTTCAGTCATGGAGCCTGTAAAAGAAAAAAAAAATTATATTTATTGCAAAAACTTTACATAAATAAATGCTAAAAACTATTATCAAGATTAAAATATATAACATTATTGCCTGTTTAACTAAAATTAACTATAGAAATAATTTAACAGTAAAAAATTTTAAATCAATAACTAAAAACTTAAAATAATTTTTTTTTTCACATATAACTTAAATAAATTCACATATAAACTTAAATAATTTTAAAACAATAACGATAAATGTAGATAACTGTTCATTTTAATTAAATTTTACCCAAGAAAATTCAAATAATTCAACCAAATTTGCTTACTTAATGTATATTGACTCATACAGAAACATTATTTAGCACTAAATATACATTCATATTTATAGAACAACATTATGCAATATTCTATACAAATTATGCTATAAAATAATTAGAAATAATCAACAAAAGCATTTAAAGTACATTTATGAATAACAACATAGTAGATACAATCAGTGGATGAAAAATAATTGTAATAAAACAGCATGGTAGAAGACTTATTATTTGTACAGAACACATAAACTATTTTGATGTAAGTAATTCTGGGTGATTGCTACAACACTGAAGTGTACTAGTATATATTGTTTGTAGATTGATGTATTGAAAAAGTACTACAAAAGATCACAATATCATGCTTATAGCAATGCAAAGTATTGATAAGTGATAAAAATTTAATCTTTTAAATAGTTATGCTAAACATTTCCTGGGTTCAAAAACAATATCTTTAAAAAACTTTTCTTAATTTCTGAAAATTTATATTATTATTATTAATTCTTTAATATATAAGTATAAATTATACTAATGCAATTACAGTAGAGCGTCGATTTTCCGAATCAATTGGGGATTGGGGTTATTCATATAACTGATATTTTGGATAACCGATTTATGTACGAAAAAATAGTTTAACGTATCCGATGTTGAAATTTTTCTCCGTTGCGTGTCGCTTCGCGTTGAATTTTCGTCGATGTTAAGCCTAACAAAGACTATTGTATCGTTAAAAATTATTTTTTTATTTTGTACAAACAAAATAAATATATTGAAAAATATAAAAACAATAAAAAATTATACTTCAGATGTTAATTTAGTATCAAAAACATAAAATATTTGAGTAGCCCAAGACATAGCCAAAGATTGAAGCTCCACAGCACTGGCGAAAATTTAAATTTGCCAACTGGAAATCTTTCGGATGATTGACGTTTCGGATGATTGACTTTCGGAAAATCGACGCTCTACTGTATTTATAAGTTATATGATGTGTCCTTCACAAATTAATTTATCTCTATTAATTCACATTATTATTGAAAATTAAAAATACTTGATGTCTTAATAATTTTCATTATTATTATTTCTTCAACAAAAATTATTTTAAGTTATTTCCAATTGATTTAAACTAAGTAAATTCAGTTAAAAGTTTTTTTTATTTTTAAATTATCACTTAAAATTATATTAAAATATTAGGGGGACACACCAATATGCAATAATAATACTACTACTAATTACTAATAATAAAAGTCAAACTGTTTTAAGGCTTTAATAGTTTAGAAATAACAACAAATTTAAAAAGATTGAAAATTTATAATTACAAATATCTTTGATAATTGACATTAGTAATTCATTCAGATGTTTATTCTAAATATTGTGTAAAATAATAGTAATACAATTAAACTTGAGTAAACCAAAATTACATTACATTAAGTACTAAATTATTTTTTCAGTTCTGAACAATTTTAGGTTTTTTCTCTCTGTTTTCTTTTATCTTTAAACTTTTTAAAGGTAATTCTTTAAATCATTTTAAACTGAAATAACTGTTAAATCTTAACAATATGTCAGGGAAAAGCAAACAAAATGCTCTTTTACTAAGAAGTTTACTTGTCTATTTCCATTGTTCTTGGATATTTTGCTAGTGTATTGATTAGTAATACATTGTATCACACACTATAGAAAGACAGCAAAACAGAGAAGCACTAATAAACAACAAGATGACTAAACACCTCACGCTCAATTATGAACCAGAAATGCATTGATTTTACATCAGGATTGCTAACAATTTAAACCTCCAACTCACTTATAAAAGATCATCTACTGTATACAGGTTACTTACCAACAGTAAAGATGCCTTAAATGAATTATGTGTCCTAGGATATACATCATTCCTTTAGCTCATTCCAGATTCAACAGACTGTTAAACATATACTGGCTCAATGTAATATACACTGGACATAAGAATTAAACAACAATTCCAAACATAAATATGTTATCGCACTTGCACAATGCCTGAGTCAAGGGGGCCCCCGCTGGAATAAATCTAAGTTCTTGTGAAAGATATCTGACAGAGAAAAGTTATGAATAGTCAAGGCTATAGAAATATATAAAGCTAAACTAAAGGGAGAGTGCATCAATAATGATTACATCTCTACCTTAGGCTTAGCAATACTGGCTATTTATCCTAAATTCATAAGCCTACTAAACATTAATTTAACCTGCTTCTACAATTTTTTTAGTTGATTTGTTTTTTGAAACTGCTTCTACAATATTTTCAATATTTTTGTCTTTATTGGTAAAAGTTACATTACACACTTTATATTTTATTTATCATTTAGAGTTAATATTGTTTTGTATTGTCTGTGTTATGTAATTTCAAAGGGCATGAAAGTGGGTCATATTTTTATGTTATAATTTTAAAAAATGCATCGTCAAGTCCACGAGACATCCCTTTTTAACTAAATTATTATGTTGGGTTTTGTGAGTTATACTCGGTTCACACCGGTGACTGTGTACTTTGTTGGACCAGAGTCAAGGCATAGCAACCAAAACTAAACTAAAATTAACCCCTTAAGCCCATAACCCGAGATATCTCGGGCAAGTTACATAACGTTACATAAAATGAGGTCCTTAAGGCCATTTTTGAAAAAATTTTTTTTTTTGAATTTTTGGAATGTTTTTTAGGTCCCGAAATTTTTTCAAAATTTTTTTCCCGCGCAAAAAAATTTTATCGCGATTTTAATGAGCCTATGTGAAGGCTCGATTAAGGCTTAATTGTTTTTTAATGGGAGTTTTTTATCAAAATTATTTCATGGTTTTTAAGTTGTAGCGCACGGATTTTCATTCAGTAAAGTTATTTAAAGTTAGTTTCTGATGTCAAAAACGACCTCCGATGGTTTTTTAATTTTTTTAATTAANTTAGTTTTATTTTTATTACTCATTTAAATTTATCATAAAATTTTGATAGTTTATGAAATTGACTTCATAAATTATTATTTTAAGTCAATTATTATTATTCACAAATTATTATTTATGAAGTATAGTTTATGAAATTGACTTCATAAATTATTATGAAATTGACTTCAGAAATTATTATTTTAATTTTTCCAATTGTATAAATTTATAGTAGTTAATTTATTTTTCTCACAGATAAAAAAAATAACAATAATAATTTATTACAGCTTTGTGTGTTTTGTTTTTCACTTGTGTTTTTTAATTTATTCCTAATATATTTATTTTTTAAAATCTATTTTAGTGACACCTTAATTGTCTCATTGGGCTGTAATTTAAAAAAATTGTAGACCTATAAATTCCCATTGTCATCTGTCTGTCTTTACTTAATCTTGAGAATGGTGTTAGATAAATAAAATTTAAGAGCAAATATGGAAAGCTTAGGGAGCAGAGACCCCATTTAACTATAAACAAACTTCTGATGCAACCAAAAGTCATGTTTTGGATGCATCAGAACAAAGACGCTAACTTTGCTTGGGCCACCAGTGCATATGACTAATATCATAGTTTGTGTGCATAATTTTATATGTTATAAACATTTTTTTAAAAATAATAATAAATTGAATAATTATTTTATTTATTCAGTTTACAATTATTTTATATTTAAAAATTTATCAATTAAAGTATTAAATTTGTTGGTTTACAAATATTTTTTCCACTTGACTTTCTTTAATTCTGAAAATTAACAACTAAAAGAGGAAGTCTTAAAGGCTGATGCATATAGGTGGCAAAATTAAGATGACATTGACATTAACAATTACTGATACCAGTCACCTCTTTTGACTTTCACAATTTAAATGGGTGATTGGTTGATGATTGAGCCTGTTGTTCACATTCAATGTTGCCTTAATTTTGTTACCTGTGTGAATTTGCATCCAACTTAACAAAGCAGTCTTTAAAGTTAATGTAATGATGAATAAAAGGTAAATGATTGTGAGGATTTTATAAATTGAAACTACAGTAATTTTATAGTCTGTCTGTGTGAGAAAGACATTTCAAAGAAATGTAATGGCATCCAGGGTCATCAAGAGCTTGTAAGAGGCCCAGGAATAGAGTGGATCCTTTTTTTTTTTTAACAAAGTAAAAACATGGAATGTTTCTTTAAGACTGTTTTTGTCAATAAAGAAACAAAGATTTAATTTTTTTAATCTATTTACAGCAACAAACCCTCTCAATGGGATCCCAATATCATAAATCTTGCAAAAGTACAGTCGACCCCCCTATAATTACGATTCCTATAAAACTACGAAAAAATTGTGACCGGTATCCGTAAAAAACAGTAAAAATTCCCTATAATTACCTCAAACGTCATCGGGCAGCCGAACTACTTTCCCGCCGTCCGTAGCGCCACGCTACGGAGAGATTTCTATCGTCTGGACAGTANGGCAACGGCAAAAGAATGGAAACATCATTCGCACTTGTTTGCAGAAAGTCCATTGTTCGCCTCATATAACTGCCAAATGGAAAGTCTGTTGTTCGTAGCCAGTCTGTTGCTCAAGTCATGTAACGGCCAAACAGAAAGTCTGTTGTTTGCAGTGTCCGTTATACAAGGCACCACTGTACTTATTTGGGGCCTAGGGTAGAGCAGGTCACCTTTTGCTATTTTTTGAACAAATGAAATATGTAGAATGTTTCCTTATTAATAAAATTCAATCTTAAAGATTTTATATTTAACATTAATTTATAGGGATAGTAACCATCACAAATCCCCAGCTTTTCTCTGGACTGGAAGAAAAGTTCTTAGTTCTTCCCTCTCAATGGCCCTAATAAGAACACATCCTTAACAAGCTGGCACACATGAGAACATGCTTTTATATATCAAGTGTGCTCTTATATTTGAAGCAAGAGATTAGTTTCAAGTACAAAACAAGTAATTTTCACATGTAAGAGCATTTCTTATTTGTGCAGAAATATGATAATTAACACTAAGGTTGGCTTTGGCTTTTCTTTAAAGAATTCTTAGCTTAAACTATTCCAATAAACTAGGAAACCAGTTCATAACTATAAAATAGTTCTTAAGACTTGCAAAATGTTCTAAAAAATGATTACACTGTAGATACAAGTTTTCACTAACAAGTAAGAGTATTTAAATGTCTGATTTTCAATGTCAGTAGCTATTAATTAATCACCTAAAATAATGATGATTACAGCTCATAGCATGTCAATATCTCATATTTACACTGTTATTAAAAACTATTTTCCAAAATTCACTTCTAAATAATTTAAATAATTTAAAAAGTAAAAAATTTATTAAATTACAATTTTAAATTCCCTCAAAGATCATATGTAATCTGCTGTAAGTTATATCATGTTTAATAGAATATGAAAGCAAATAATTTATGGTAATATTTTATTAAATAAATTCACATATTTAAGAATTATAAAAAAACAAATACCTTTTTAGGCTCGATAATTAATTTTGGAAGATTACTGGAAGTTGAATATGTACCTAAAACAAAACTATATAATTAGTCAAATTATTTTGATATATATTTGTCATATTTTATAAAATTTAATTATTCTGAATATACAGTGGACCCCCGATATAATGCACATGTCAGGCAGGAAATAACACCCATGTTATACTGAGCGGCGCAGTGGCGACACAATAAACGTGTTTGAACTTATTGTGTCACAAACATCATCCGCACTATAACTGAGTGTGTGGTATAGCGAGCAGCGCTATAATGAAGGTCCAGTGTAATGTAATTAATGCCTTTGTTTGAATATGCATTATGCAAATACTGTATAAACACCTTAAAGACTGAAGGTTATTATATTAAAGTCAAATGATTACTTGATTAAATCAGGCTACATTACCTCTACTAATAATTATTAAATACTTAGTAATTTGGCACTAAAGATGGGCATTAGCCCCATCTCATATTAAATTTAATTATAATTATTAAAATTAATAAAGAGAAGCTATCTCTAGTGAAAAATTATTCAGTATTTAATGTATTATGAAACGTAAATATTTATATAAATTAAAGTAAATTTAGGTAATAAACAATCTGATATTCAATAACTTTTACCAACATACTTTACTAATAAAAAAATAATATAATATTTTGTTTTTAAACAAACATTAAATAACTTAAATTCACATATAGATTTAACTAGCTTCTTACACCTGGCATACTAATCATAAATTTCAAAAATGTATGTGGTGAAATTCATTTTAAGAACATTATCGGAATGCCTATAAACATGAGAAGTATGTCCTTATAAATAGTAAGTTTATAAAAAAATTATTAGAATTACTTTAGTTTATTTGGTTACAGCAATGCAACACATGATGACCTACCAAGAAGGATGCTTCCCAGGTAGACTTTTATGGGAAACTTGACCCCTATTTAGATGTTACTAATAAAAGATAACCCAGAAAACTCCTTGTTGCCAGCCTGTTGATGGTGTATGAACCCACAACTAACTACCAGTGTTCAGTGGTTTTATCCACTCAACCACTAAGTTGGCATACTTATTAGAATTAATAAAGTACCATTCAGCAATGAAAAAATCCAAGTTATGTAGAAAATTAAATACTGTACTTATATAGTTTCCAGTGTAACATTTTTGACTCCACACAGGTGAACGTTATGTGCTACCCATCGCAATAATGATATATTGAATCTACTTTGCACTATATTATTGTTGCAGTAATTAAATGAATATAATATTAGATTTTTTAATTATATCCTTTTTGTATGAATTATATTTTGTTTATTATTTAAAAAATTTTTTTGCCAATAGATTGCACTATATGTAAAGCCACAAATCTAATATGGACAAAAATTAATTGATATATATAAATTCAATCAATATCTTTGGGTGGTACATACATTATCTAAGTTAGAAGTATCTTAACAGCCTAGGAGTGCATAAAGAACAAACATCCTCATTTATATATGTAGATTTATGATAAATAAAATTAATAACAATATTCTACAAATACAGAATGGACCTAGAGTTAGTTAACTGAAATATATTTTAAGTATGCACCTTTAGACAAGGGTTACAGAACACAAATATTTATATAACGGATGAACTGGATAAATATACTATTAATAAAACACACCTTTAATAATCCAGTAATAAAAATTAATAATATAATAACGTTTTCGATCGTTTAGAATCTGAAGAAGATCGTTAAGAAACGATCGAAAACGTTATTATATTATTAATTTTTATTAGCTGGATTATTAAAGGTGTGTTTTATTAATAACACAAATATTTTTTACCTGATTAATCAGCCATCTTCAAGTGTGGACAGTTGAAATTCCACTTTCAATGTCCATGCCTGAAGTTGCTAGTAATTAAGTTGAAAATGTTAGCGTTTATTAAACTTCATCCACTGTTATAGGTGCATTGATTAATTTAGCTGAATAACTACAGCAGCAAGTTTTTATATTTTTAGGCTGCAATTTTTAAATTGCTAAATTTTCATTGGTGTCCATCTTCTTTAATCTCAAGAATGGAATTACAGTAATACCCCGACTTACGCGAACCCGGAGTTACGCGATTTTCAAATCTTGTCGATTCGTCTTTTGTTTGAGCGCCACGCAACCCTTGATTACTCACTCCCCTCACACTATTGTTCAGCTTACATGTTCGGATGTGTCGCGCAGAATCGACACATAGCTACAATTTATTTTGTGTTATTTATTTCTATGTTTTATTTATTTTATTTATTATTTCTATATAATATGTTTGTTATATCTACGGAGACTTGAGAGACTCTACTATGTCATCCAAACGAAGTAGAACTAATTCTTCTGCATCAAACAAGAAAAGAAAAACTTTATCTTTGGAATGTAAAGTTAACATTGGGTATGTTCGTAAAGTCGAACGAGTTAAACGAGAATGACGTCATCGTTATTCCTATTTCGTTAGACTTTTCGAACGATTCGTTACTAACGCGTTTAACTCGTTTGACTTTACGAACGTACCCATTATTAAAGACTTCGATACAAAAATGAAAATTTGTGAATTGGCAAAGAAGTTTGATCTACCGGAATTGTCGGTCAGAACAATTATAAAAGGCAAAGAAAAAATTCTCGAAGCTGTGAAAAATGCTCAATCTTTAAATTCAAGCATCATTCGTAAACGTCACAGTATTATCGCTGAGATGGAAACAATGTTAAAATTATGGCGTAATAATCAAGTAAATGTGAAAAATTGTAAAATAATATAGGCCTAATTTGTTATACATATGTATTATCTAAGATTTTATTAAACATTTTTTTCTAAATTATTGTTTTCTTTAGTCTTCGGCCCCAATTAAAAATTATTTGTATGTATTTATATGCGAAATTATACCCTGACTTATGCGAATTTGACTTATGCAGTTAATGCTCGGTCCCATCTATTGCGTAAGTTTGGAGTATTACTGTACATAGATGAAAGTCAAAACCAGATATGGAAAGCTTATGGGTAGGAGGCCCCCAATTAATGTATATAGACTTCTGGTTTGGACCAGAAGTCACATTATTTCAATTCAAAAACTTTCCCCAGAACAGAGTTTGATAGATGCTGGCTGACTCTATTATTAACAGGAAAAGTATGATGTACAGGGGACACTATTAAAATAAAAGTTTGTATTTTAAATAAATTATTTAAAAAATATGATAAAAAATTGCAGCTTGGCATTGTGATGATCACAATAAATAATTGTTCTACTCTATTGATATAAACCAAAAAACTACCAGCATCAATCCTTTAACAGAATAAAATAAGTAGTTCTTGAAAATGCTTTCTAATAGTAAGTTCATCATCAGGCAAGAAATATTCTGAATTTATCTTGATAACCATTACCATATAGTAGTAACATATATACCCACAGTGGCCAAACTGCAGCTCATTTTTTGGACCCTTATTACACCTCCTGTAATCACACCCCTATCCATATATATATACAATATACAGGTTATAAAAAATACCATTCCAATATAGGATGCAACTCACATATTTTTGATATACAGTCGACCCCCCTATAATTACGGTCCCTATAATTACAATTCCTATAAAACTACGAAAAAATTGTGACCGGTATCCGTAAAAAACAGTAAAAATTCCCTATAATTACCTCAAACGTCATCGGGCAGCCGAACTACTTTCCCGCCGTCCGTAGCGCCACGCTACGGAGAGATTTCTATCGTCTGGACAGTATTATATAAATTAT